GGGGCCAGGCCATTGAAACGAGGAGCCGCCGAGGCTGCGCCGGGAGGGAAGAAAGCGGCCGGCGGCGGGGCCGGGGCGGGCGGGGCCGGGGGCTGGGAGGCTGCGCTGGGGACCGGGCGCACGTTTGAAATAATTAGCATAGATTCGCCGGGACTCCGGACTCCGGGGGAGGGGGACGCCGGGAGGGAGGCGCGGGGAGGTGGCAGCGGGGTGGGGAGGGAGCGACGGAGAGCGACTGTGCAGTCCAAGATAAATAAAGGGAGCGCTGAGCAGTGTCAGGAAGCGGCCCACGTGGAGCCGCGCGGATGGGCGCCACCGGGGACCGAGGAGGAGGGACGCACGCGAGAGTCGAGCGTCTGTGCCGAGAAGTTTGGCTTTGGCAGGGGCGGGCTGGGGGCGATGTTGTGCACGTCCCTTTAAGGGGGAACACGCCCTCTGCCCCTATCGAATCCTAAAGCTCAGAGATCCCGATTCTGATTTCCCGTCCCTCCCCACCACCCTAGTGGAGGAGGTGTCCAGAGCGGGGCTGCACCCCCGTCTCCAAAAGCAGACCCAGAGGTGGCGTTTTCTTTAACCCAAATTCGGACCCCTCCGAAACCGTGACCCACAGAGTCTTTCTTAGGTCCTGGGGGAGAGGGGAGGAGAGTGACAAGTCTCGCAAGCCATCCCCAGCAACTCCGACCGAGGGCCTGGATTTCGGGGGCTCGGACCTGCAAGATCCCGGAGGCTGCGAGCGTTGTTGATTCCGGGGGATCGCCTCAGCTCACAGCACCGCAGCTTCCGGGAGTGCAAAGGGTTAACACGGGCTGGATATTGAGGTGGGGGGTGCGAAGAGGGCGGGGTGGCGGGATCTGGGTGGGCGCGCCCCGATCCCCCCCCATTCCTCGGGGGTCAAGTTTCAGCGGCACTCCGCCCCCAGGGTAGGTGTGAAAGACACGTGTCCCCATTGTGAAGGGCCTGTCAGGCAGGACAAAGCGGCCGCCCACCCTCCCCCCGCCCCTCGGCCCAGCTTGGGGTCAGCTCCAGGGGGCCGGCTGGGTGTCGAGGTCACTACAGGCCCGAGCTTTGGTGACATAGGGGGAAAAAGCTGGGAGACTGGAGGAGGCCACGTGATGTTTGAGGGGTTGGAGCATTACCTACCCCCCTCCCCCGCATTGGGAAACTCAGCAGTCACCTCCATCGTAGCAGAGGAGGAGAGTCAGAGGGGGATGAGCCCCTTCTCCCAACAGGGGTAGCGGGACGCGGCGGCATCCCCTACCCGCCCCCTCCCCCCCCGCCCCATCAATCACCAACACACAGAATCGCAGTGTCGAGCGCAGTCGGTNCCCCTCCGCCCCTCGCCAGTGAAACTCTGTCTCAAAAAAATATTGGCCCGGGGCACAGAAAGTTTTGCATAAATTCATAAGTGATGAATGGCTGATTTTAACGTTATTTGGGTATTTGTCAGAACTTAACAAATATACATGGGGACGGCGGTTCATAAACTTAAACATCTCAATATCCCCTTTCTTCTGGAAATAAATTACGTTTGTTTGCCCGGCTTGGAGTCTTAAGGTAGCCGACATTAGGAATATTTTAAAAGCCATCATCCATCGAGCATGTCTCCCAGGCGCCAGGAAGATTAAATGAAAGAATCATAAGATGGAGGTCTTTAACTTTTAATCCTTTTACAATGAAGCCTCAGATAGTGGCGGGGGCAGGGTGCCCTCTCTGGGGGGAATAATGCCGTTATTCCTCGGCTCTCGGTTAATGAATACCCTAACGTCTGTCCCCCGGCTGACGCAGGCAGCGCCGGGGAGGGGGCTCGGGCTCCCGGGCCANAGTGTCGAGCGCAGTCGGTTTTAGTGGTTTTCTTTAATCCTGCTCTGCACTTTTTTTTTTTCTCATTTACTACACGGGATATTATAAAGAATAAATAGCAGATACTCTTAATTTACAATGATTAGTCATTCCATTTGTTCTCTATATTTACAATAACTGTAAAATAACATTGAACTCTATAGCTTCTTCGAGGTCCAAGGAAAACCAAAACATTTTCCGAAGAATGGAAAATAGCTTTTAAAAAGTCCTTCTACAAAAGTTCCCCCCTCTCTTTGTACTTTAAGAAAAAATAACTTTTACCCCCTGCTTCGCCATGCGAAGGGCATCGGAATATAAATAGCAGGTTAACATTATTAGCAACAACCAGAATAAGTCTCTTTTTTCTCTGTTCTTTTTTTTTCTTTTGCTTATATATATTTTTTAAAAATACAGTAGAAGCCGGTAACTTTTAACGTATAATACTGACCTTTTAATAAGTAAATTAAAACTGGGACCGTATATACACACACATATACATTCCTACACAGTTAAACAGTGCATTACATGAACCAGAAAGCTAGGTCTCTGTAGCCAAAAAAAAAAAAAAAAAAAAAAGTTCATTGAAAACCCTCGCTAGAGGGTGGTGGACTGGTTGGAGGCGGTGCAGGGGGCGTCGGTGGGGATCGATCAAGTGTCCGGGTGCGGCAGGGGGCCCCCGAGTTCTAGCACGAGCACTTGCACTCGGAAATGATGGGGTACTGGATGGGAATCCAGCCGCAGCGCTGGCCCCCGCGCCGCTGACAGCGCCACCGCAGCACCGTGAGGTGCACGGACTTGGACGGCTTGCACACCATGCCCTCGGGCACGGAGCACGAGCGCTTGCTGAAGCAGCTGCCCACCTTCACGTAGCGCGGCCAAAAGCGGCTGCCCAGGTCGTTCCACGCGTACAGCACGGGGCAGAAGGTCTGCGACCACAGCCACATCTGTAACTTTCTCCGCAGCTTCTTGCTCAGGCGCTGCTTCTTGCCCTGGGCC